GCCACAGCTGTAAGAGCTGCAAGACAAAGTGAAATATTGCAAACTGCGATTATCAGTGTTTTTTTGTATTGGAAAAAAAAAAATCATTAAGATGCTTGTTGACATAAAATCAGGGAGGAAATTGTTGTAAATTGAGCATCTCCTTAATGAAAGTTACATTTTAATCAGTGTGTTGTAAGAACTGTTGAAGAAGATTCTGACTCTGCTTTCGGCTTCACTGTGATACTGTGTCATTTTACATTATGAATTAAATGTCAGACAGAAGCCTTTGAGCTTAACTTTGAGTCTTTAATAATCTCTAGTACACAAATCCAACCTTTTCTTTTTAAATTATTTTTTACATGAACCTGCATCAGAATGAAAAATGTAATACAAATTGCGATACTGTAGGGATACACTCTCCTGAAATGCCCCTATTTATTTTTGCCAGCTTTAACACGGTAACTTTTACACTTACAGCCCCTCCCTACATTCTGATTAAAAGATGAACAAGTTTGGAGATGAATTCAAACAGTTTGGAGTAGAATAAAAGCGAGACTATTCAGCAGAGTTTTACATCTTTGGACAGTAAAAAGCATTAACATGTTATTATGTAAGAGAGCAGTGATATGAATGAAGTGAGGCTCTTCTAACCGGGACCAACGGGCAGTAAGCGATTGTGATCTGTCTGGAACAGCGAGACAGCAGTGATGGATGTAAAGCGGTCGGCTTCGAGGCATGAAGGTCAACCTGGATGACAGTGAGCGTGTCTGTGTATGTGTGTGTGTGGTGTGTGTGTGTCTGTTTAATCAACAGACAGGGGAGCTAAGAGTAAGACTAAAAATACATTACGTGTGTGTGTGTGTGTGTGTGTGTGTGTGTGTGTGTGTGTGTGTGTGTGTGTGTGTGTGTGTGTGTGTGTGTGTGTGCTCACACTCTCATTCATCAGTGGTGACAATACCATGTGGAGTGTGCTACAGCGCCCGACAAATTCAGCCATCACACACACATTCACACCAAACACCCCTGCAAAGGTGACACAAGCGCCCACTAGCAAGTTTACTCCTTGTAGTCAAGGGCACACCTGTGTGTGTGTGTGTGTGTGTGTGTGTGTGTGTGTGTGTGTGTGTGTGTGTGTGTGTGTGTGTGTGTGTGTGAAAACATTCCACCTGGACTCAGCTACTCTGACATGTCCTCAATCTTTCATCTATGTATCAAAAACTCACCTTTCCTCTCATTTCTAACCACAATGCATCTCTTTTCCTGTCTGCTGTTCTTCTCTCTGTACATTCCTCTGAGACTTTCATCCTACTTTCTTTTCATCCTTTCGAACTTCTTCTGTCGTCATCTTCCTGTTCTTGTCCTCCACAGCCTCTCTCTCTGTCATGCTCCCTCTGTTCTCTACTCGCTGTGATCAATTAGGAGACATTAGTCCCACAGATATTCCAGGTGACGGAGCCTCGGGAGGCCACGCTCTCCTTCATCTCTCCTCCTCCTGCCTCCCCTCACTCTCTCCTCTCCACACCTGGCAGTCTTGTCACTCCTGCTCCTCCTCCCCATCAGCTCCCCCTCTTTTTCCTCGGCAGGGCAAACAACAGACTTCGTTGCTCTCCCCGCTCCCACTCCAATCTCGCGCTCTCATCCTTTTACGTCGCCGACAGTGACATATCAGCATCAGCCCTCCTCTCCTTCATCTTTTCTCTCCTTCTCTCCAGTCATCTATCCTCCTCTTCCTCGCCTCTTTATGTTGTGGCAACATGCTGACAGTGACGCACCTCTTTTTTCTTCCCCTCTGCCCTCTCTCCTCCAACTCTACTCCACACTTTTTCTTTCTTCCTCTCCCTTTGCCTCCTCCTCTATCTCACTCTCTCCAGGTTGCCGTTCACAATGACGGACCTGTCTTCCCGCCTGTATGCCAACCGCTCACCTGTATCCTAGCAACCACCTCTCCTTTGGCTCCGGTGCTCCATGCGGAGCAAGCAAACAAGACGCCAGGGGAATGAAGAACAAGCACTCTCGTTTATCCTCCTCCCTCCAACCGTTCAGTCATTCCTTCACATGTAAAGAGGAGGCCATACTCTGCTGGAGTCTGGAACCAAATGCTTTACCTCTCTCTCTAGCTCACACAAACACACATTTACATAGAGGAATGCAAAGACGCTCAGCAGCACATGTTTCTGCCATGTTGTGTATATCCATGTGTGTGTGCTTATCTCATCCCATACAGCTCCATTCCAACAGTCGGACACAGTGAGTAAGCTTCAAAGAAATGTTGTCTATACAGCGCTCCTCCTGAAGCATGCTGGGCCTCTCTTTCTCTTAAAGATTCTCAGTGTGCTCGCATTTGTGTGTGTGTTCTTGTGTATTTCTGGAAGACAGTTTGGTAATGTCTGAGGTTTTCTGGAGGTCTTTCCTTCTTTATGCTTATATGTATTGAGAAAGAAGAATAAAAGCAACCTCAAAGCCTCAACATCTCTGTGTTTTCTTTCTTTCTTACACACTCAAAAACACTTACATGCACACACACAATGCACACACACACAAAAAAAGTGCTGTTAAGGCACATGTGTCCTGGTGTAATTTATGAGTGGGCTCTTGGGTGGACGCCTCAGAGGGGCCCTCTTCACGCTGCATGGCTCTGGGTGCTCTACAAATTCCCCCCAGCGAGTTTTGGGCTCCCACACACACACACATACACACACACACACACACACACACACACACACACAAACCTACGTAACACACAAACAAGGTAGTACAAAACCCCCCTTATGAGCAGTGTACTCCTCCGACTGAAACTCGCTGCACGATTAACGCTACAAAAAGCTAGGTAAACACAAGGGTTTCAGGCTTGGCAGCACTGCTACAGCTCTGTTCAGCACAGACAACACAGCAGAGCAAAACATTTCCTTACAACAGCTGAAAAAGAGGCCATGGAGTTAGCGAAAGTAGTAACAACAATAAAGTATGATTCAGCCTTGTTTGGTTTGCTGAAATAAAGCCAATTGTAAAAATCAAGTTTGGCTACGAAGAAAAAAAAAAGTAACAACCTAGAAATGAGAGCTTAAAGCTTAAACTGCTCCTCACTCACTGGAGTCCAAAATTCAACATTCAATCACGCTGTATGAAGTTTAAAAGCTTACCAATCTCTTTAAACTTAAATACACTGATCTATAAAGCGTTTTCTACGTTAATAATGTAATGGAACCACCTTATTGTAAATCTACACAGTCATTGTCGTCAACAAGCTGTATGTACAGTACCTAGCACTTATTTAGATGGCACCCTAACACTGAAAAAATATGGAAAAGGCTACATTATTGTCTCAGATAAGACACAATTTGGAATTATTCTTCCTCATTAGTGCCTAATGTATCTTATAGCTGCTTAGTAAAATGTACAATTAGATGTTCTCTGATGGAAACAAATATTTGCGTCATTAAAGCCCCAAGTGAGCAATAAGCTGCTAATAAATGAAAAAGGATAAACTGAGGTTTTAGTTGTTTTCTATGCTGCACTACATCCCTGCCCTCGAGTTACTAAAGCGGGTGGGGGGGGAGTGTTGTGAACTTTTTGCTACGTTTTGTGGCCTTCCCCTCTCCTCCCTCTCCTGTTTTCTGCAGCTCCATATGTGGCTGTCCAGCTCAGTGTGACCGTGTGGCGCTCAGGAGAGGATGGATCTGTCTGTGTGCCCCAGGCGTGGGGGCCTTGATCTGCTCTGGAGGACACACACCACTCTCAAGGGCAGTCCGAGGGGGGATACAGAAAGCACACGCACAAACTCACACACACACACACAAACACACACACACACAAGCATGAACACATGCACACAGCAGGTACAGACTTGAGTGCAAATAAGCAATTTGGACACACCCTGGTGAGCGACCTGAGGTGTATAAATGTGTATAAATCCCATATACACACTGTGGATGGTTTGATGGATGGTTACATAGATATATATATATATATAATGTATATAAATATATATATATTATAAATAATGTAAAAGCATATTAATAATGTATGCAGGGGCAGTAAGGGGGTTGTTCTTTCTGCTGATGTTACTGATTCTAAGATCCCCCCATCTGTTGACTCTGGTCTCCTGGGTAAGAGGCCAATCAACGGCTCAGTGACACATCTGCCTCCTACATACACACACACACCAAACCTGCGCACACACGCCTGCACGCATGCACTCCTGCACACATGCACGCACACACACACACACACAAGCATTTTCTGCTTATCCAATTTCTATTGTCAATTTGTCTATTCTATAACACATGCACACTGACACACGTCTGCCATCCCTTGTCCTGTGAATGAGGTCAAGAAGGAATAGAATAGTCAAGAAGGAAGGAACACGAACGCCCACAAGCTCTGAGCAATACAGAGCTCTCTCTCTCTTCTTCCAACAGATCCACTTGCAGATAGCCATCAGAATGTCTTCCTGAGAGACTCCGTAAGACCTCTCCTTTGAGTAAACTACCATTCTTTTTAGTCTGACTATCGTGTATTGCTGACAGATCAGTGAAAAACATCCATGTTCCTTCTGGGGTCTGTAAGGGTTCCTACGTTATTGACTGGGACTTGTTGTGGAAACAGAAACACTATGGTGCAGTTATGCATCTTGTGTATGTCAGACTGGCTGTTTACGGCTGCTGAGTGGAGGCCAGGGCTCCTGCTGAGTCTGATTTTGACTTTGGCTACAGTAACAAGGCTTACGCTTCAAAAATCTGCTTTGTGTTTAGAACAAGCTGTTAGCTTGACATGTTTGGTCTGGGATGAGTAAAAATAAAATAAAATTCCATGTAGGTGTCAGTGAAAAACAAACAGGGCTAACCAAGCTGAAGTGAATGAAATTGAGTGTGACTAAGTGTGAGTTCATTCAAAGTTAGCTCCAGTGTTCTTAACTTTTCTCACATTTTATTGGCCCTGTGTTCGTATTTCTCTTTATTATAATAAAACAAATGTTTTTAATCCTCTTCATGAATAAAACTCTGTGCTAGTTGACTTACCGATGAAGTAGGACAGTAGTATTGCCAGCAGGGCAGCAGCTGCGATGGCTGTCACGGCGGCACATTTCCAGCTGCAGTACTTGGAAGGCTTCTTTAGCTTGAAGGCTGAGCGGGAGAAGGTGTTTCTGGGTAGCAGGCGCGGAGGCGGAGAATACACGGTCCCCGAGGTCAAAGGGTAACCGGGGGAGGAGCTACTGAAGAGAGGGGTGGTCCCTGATGACGTCTTGAACAAGAAGTGCCTGAAGAGAAAAGAAAACACATGAGAAGGAAGGTCATTTTGTCAGTTGTGAAAAGACGACACAAAAAGTGGATAAAGGTTAAAAAAAACAAAAAAACAAGCTCTGTTGGATGGTAAACATGGCGCAGACAATCCAATCTGCCACCCAATCGCGTCAAGATGACAGGGTCACATATGTGGAAGTTTCTGTCCAATTTCTCCTTCCGATGAACCTTTCCTGCCATATGGGTTTGAACATCCTTGAACTGATTTAGTCTCCAATTCAGCTCGTTCCAGTCCAAGGGCTCGTTTTAACCTCCACCTGCTCTACTCCTCTCCCCCTCGCTCTCCATCCCCCGACCTACGCTGTGCCTCGTTTCTGCTCTCATTGGTTTCAGAGGATCACTGCCGTCCCTCTTTCCTGTCCTCATCGCCCTAGTGGGGTCAGAGCTCAGAGAGAGGATAACAAGGAATTTGAACCATCATCCCTTTTCTTATATTACCTATTATCCTTCGCTATCGCTGCACCTGCTCACCTTAGGCCTCTCCTTTGCTAAACTCCCCCACCTCTTTCCCCGCTACATTTTCTATCCAGCTTCCCCTCCCCACTGCTTCTTCCCTCATGTTTTCCTTCATTCATACCTGAGAAGATGTCCCTCAAACCTCTTTTCAAGACTTAACTCTGATCTGAGCTTGAAGGAATATCAATACTATGAAAAGAAAAAAGAAAGACTTGCACTTGAAGAAACTTTTCAAGGACACAGTAAGTGTTTACTTTTCTGTCACACATTGGAGTAAATATCTGCCCCCGCACAGACTCCAGGTGGTACGACAGAAGAAAGCCCTGAGGTGAGAGTGACAGATCAGAGAAGCGAGGTCACTCTATTGCCTCAAACATGACGGAGGAGGGGGAGTTTTTGTCTCCCTGTCTTGGTGGAATTTGCTTGTTTGTGTGTGTGTGTGTGTGTGTGTGTGTGTGTGTGTGTGTGTGTGTGTGTGTGTGTGTGTGTGTGTGTGTGTGTGTGCGTGCGTGCGTGCGTGCTTGCGTGTGTGTTTGGTGAGCATGCTCTCCCTCTGGTATCTTGATCTATCTACCATTATCTCTATGAATTTCTGACCTTGGGAGAGTGGACATACCTGCAAACAGATAAAAAACGCGGTCAAATGTATTCTCGTTTCAGTATTGATCTCAGCCATGTTACGATGATAAATTCTTGCTTAATACAACTTGGGTCTTATTTTTTAAACTTTTTCCAGGACTTCCTTGTTATGGTTCCATAAATTTGTCAATTGAGCTTCTAGATAACAGCCGATAAGACATGTTGTAAGATAGCCAGGCAAGATTATTTACACTCTATAGCATAATAACACTGAAGTAAACACACCTGAATAAAACATAGATGCTAGTATTAGATAATAGATTACGGTATATATCATGCAGGAAGCCAAATCTAGGAAGAAAAGATTCTACTACCCTTCTCATATTGTTGAGGACAAATAAATTTTGCGATTTCTTGTTGATAATTTAATGAAAGCTAATACCTAGTTAACATTGATTTAACTGGCTAAAGTAAATACAGGCTAACATGAACTTATAGTTTAATCATTCTGTCACTGTCTTTTAAAAAAATACATTTTTAAGATTTATTTTTGGGCTTTTTGTGCCTTTAATGTAGAGATAGGACAGTGGATAGAGCTGGAAATCAGGGAGAGAGAGAGAGGGGAATGACATGCGGGAAAGGAACCACAGGCTGGATTCGAACCTGGGCCACCCAGGCCAGGTTTGAGTACTAATGGAGATAACATTTTTTGAACTAATACAAGGTGGCTTTGTGATTTGTTCTTTCTGTTGTAAGTCATTGTATCTTTTTATATTTTTATATTTTTCATTTTCTACATGTTATTGTTTTGTCCCTTTTTGCCATTATTAGATAGGACAGCTGACGAGAGACTGGAAATGATGGGAGGAGAGAGTGGGGGGGGGTGACATTCAGAAAAGGGTCAAGGTTGGATTTGAACCCACGGCCGCTGAGATGAGGAGAATTGCCTCTGTACCGCTAGGGCCCCCTCCTTGTCTCTTTTAGTCAGACTCAGTAGGATCAACTGCTGTGGCTGTATGTGATGATTGCCATTTAAGACAGTGCTTAACTACACGTTGCTGTGTGGTCTCCTCTCCTTTGAAGTCTAATAACTGCTGTTTCATAGCAGCATGTCTGTACGTGTGTCTGTGCGTCTAGAAACAGTTGCTGTAAACAGGTTATGTGCTCAAAGCATAAAGATTTGGTTTGGGAGTACCCTTCCACTCTGTATCAATTATTCAGCCGCTCTGTGCTGTGTTTCTTTCCATCGCTCTCATCCCCTCATGCCACTGATTGTTGGATTGGTATCCTGCTGGAATCTTCTCTATTTCCCTCCTCCACTTCTTCTCTACTCATTCTTCCCTCTTTACCTGTCAGGTTTCGCTGCATGAAGAAAGAAAAAAAAACATCTCTAGACAGATGCTGAAAGAGTGCAAAAGAAGATGGCATGCAAAGAAATATGAGGTTATTGTCTAAAAATAACAGCCTATCAGTGTCACCGCCATCAATTTTAATATGCCTGCCTGCATAAATCTATACCCTCAATTTCTTGGATGTGCACAATGGCATGCACGTGTACACATACAAACATACACTCCAAGGTCAACCAGCATGTGTAGTCGCTGCAACTCATTTACACAGCCGTTGATGCACTCTGTGATGGCATGGCCAGGGGTAATTAATTATGGTTCCCTTAATGTGTGTGTAACTGCAAGAAGAGTGCGAGCTGGTGGGTTGCTTTCATTCCATGCGACACAATGCGTATGATTAAATGTGCTGGTATGTATTTGAACTTGCCCACTAAGGCCTCCAACTCTCTGGCTTTTGTTGTTTGTGTGCAAAAGCTCTACAGTGAGCTTGATGTGGGATGGGAATATGTCTATGGGCCACACTAATTATGAGTAGGAATGGAAAGTGTCTAATGTGCTCTGGGGAGGTAATTGACATTGATTTATGTTGCGCAGGACTATGGAGGGGTTCTATCATAGCAGGCAGCCGGCAATCACAACACTGTATCATTAGGCTCGGTGTGTGTGTTCGCTCGTATGTGTGTCTGTGTGTTTGAGTGTGAATATTGAGGCTTTTTTTTTTTTTGACAGTGGTCCAGCATGGAAACGTCACACATAATTAGAGAGAGCTGACAGAGACCACCCCACCACCCCCACCTTCTTCTTCTGAGCTGCCAGCAGCAGTGACACCCCGACCCTCCATCCCCCCCCCCCCAACTCGCCCACCTCTTCCACTCAAACCATTGCTACCTTATGTCATGCATCCTGTCTTACACATGCATCACACACACATACATTATGCAGAACATGAATACTCACACACTCAACACAGAGTGAGTCACCCGACCGTGCACAAACAAAACAAAACCATGTGGGGTTTTTCTTTTTCAGCTCGGCCTGTATGTGCTATACCAAACATTTCATTTCCCTCTTCAAGATATAAGAGGAGGATGGGGGGGGGGGACAGAGAGGGGGGCCGTAGATTACACGACACACAGATAAAGGAACAGAGGATGTGTTTTCACTTCATTCCAACCATGTCCCCCATTGAGAGAAAGGAGGACCTGGACAATTAACCACAGAACAGAGAGCATGCTGGGTAATTAGCAAGAAGTCAAAGCTCGCCTTCCCCTTGAGCAGACATGCACACGTGCTTCCCAAAGTACACACACGCACACACACACACACACACACACACACACACACACACACACACACACACACACACACACACACACACACACACACACACGTCATTTTACAAGCTCACACAAACATGTGGTTGCTGAGGAAAGCACTCTGAGAATCATCATCAGAGGTAGAGAACAATTAACGGAGGTCGACTCGGCAGGAGGGTGACTGCGAAACGGTCAGATCTGAGAATGAAACAAAGAGCTCGGGGAGTGGAGAATGCTTGAGGATGGCGTCATGAGGATTGTTCCCTGCTACAATAGTAGGAAACAATAACCGGCAGATGGATGCAGGATAATGGGCATTCATTCGCTGAGTGTGGCTTTGAAGAGGGACATGGAAAGAATTCTGAGGCTTAGTGATATGTGCAAAAAGGCAGAAAATAAACCAGACATCCAATCTAGTATTCAAATCCAGAAATGTTTCAGATGTTTCCAAATGTGTGTGATATGAAGGTGGTAAGGGGGGAAAAAGTGCTTCTGGTTGATTGCTTTGAAATACCTAGGGTCAAAAGGAATATGCAGAATTTCTATTAACCATAATGTCAGACTTTTTAAGCTTCAGGGAAAATGAGCTGTAGTGACACATCACACGCCGCCGTATTCATATTTTATGAGTCACACGGTTGTTTAAACCATCATCAAGTGGATGAGATGTGTCAGGATCGGATTTGATTAATCTCAGCGAGTGATTGATCGATTGATCACCTTGTCCGCTCGCCGCCAAACAACTCATTAGAGCAGCATGTTGCAATGTCAGTTGAAGTTAGTTTGATAATCACCAGTCGGAGACACATTTTACTCGATGGCGAGCTGGACTTGTATCACACATGGATGTGATTGGACAGGATGTGTGATGGATTTAACACTTAGTGCTTCTTTATCTACTATAAATTTGACATCAGCCAAAGTTGCCTGTAGGGTTTCAGAGTGTGTGTTTCTGTGCTACATATCTCAGTAGCATCTCCATATGGATTGCTAAAACTATGGTAACTGCTGACACCTTGACACAAACTAGCCTTCCATCATTTGGGTGTTTTAATGTTTTTAACCCGGCATGCTGGAGTACATACTAGTGTGACAGGGCAAGCAAGAAAATGTTTCTTAAGAGTGTGAAACCCCCCTTATTACATTCAGTTCTGAAAACTTAACACAAGGTCAGTTTAGCTGTACTGGTGATTTTTGAGCACATCTCAGGACCAACCAATTATCTACTCGTATACCTCGGAGGGCTGGAGCCCACCC